GAAGCATTGTCTGGCGCGTCTGCCTCCGCGACCCGAAAGGAGAAGCGGCGATGGAAGATGAAGATGAAGACAAATCCAAATACCACGCCTCAGTCATCACCAGCGATAGAATTGTCCAATCAGAGTTGAAATGGGCTATCGACCTGGCTTCCAGTGCTTTTGATAACAAGTAAGACATTCCGGCTTTTCTGAAACGGGTATCCTTTTCCATGAAACTCCGCCTGTAAATTGACTCGGTCATGTCAGTGCTGTTATATGACACGAAGCAGTTACTCTAACGAAGAACCGCCAGCGACGGTTCAACTGCTTATTGGAACCTCGGATTCGACGTATAATGAGGGATCAGTGGTAGGAACATGACAAGCGACTCTCCTGTATCGTGTACAGGTGTGCGCTGTAGAAAAGGATATTAAGGAATTGGGGTTGACAATATTAAGCAAACTGGTTAAGCGTCAATCATTTGCTTTAGCCTGGCTGCTTTTCATACGAAAGCCAAAGCATGGTTGACATCGACTGGGGGGCAGCATTCAACGTTCAACGTGGAGGAACAATGAGGAAGCCGATCTGCTTTCAGGTTTGAATTGCTTCTGGTTGGTACACCATACTGGAGCAATGTTCCGTTTGTTCTTTATGTAATTGTCACTATAGTAGCTTGTTGTTCAATGTGGTGGGGTAGATCTCCAACTTATGACAGATTTACCCTATGCATCGACTGCACGGACATTTGTTAGAATAGTGAACATGACTATAATCATTATTTATAATTACTGTGATTAGCTGTGTGATGCATTATGCATGGGTTATGATTATCTGGATTATTTATGATTCTTAAGGTAATTTAGATTATGCAGCATACATTATATCTTGTAAATTATGCATTGTTCATGCTTCGCCCTGACGGGTGATGCATGCGCAGTTATCACAAGGTTGCAAAAAGTGCACTGACATACGACGCTTTGACGCAAACAGCCCGTTTTGAATATTTGGAGTAGATACGCTACTTCAAATAGGGAAAAGGAAATCGCATTTCGC